GGTGAACAAATAGTTAACTCCATCTGCCACTTAATTTTCCACTTTATTTTTATTATTTTTTTAAGATTTTATTTATTTATTTGAGAGAGAGAGACAGAGATAGCTACATAGATCATGATCGAGTGGGGAGGAGAGGGAGAAGCAGGCTTCTCTATGAGCAGGGAGCCCGATGCGGGGCTCGATCCCAAGACCCTCGGATCATGACCTGGGCCGAAGACAGACGCTTAACTGACTGAGACACCCAGGCGCCCCTTAATCTTCCACCTTAAACCAATGCTTCTCAAACTAAAATGTGTCTACAAAATCCAGGGGATCTTGTTAAGATGCAAATGTTGAACCAACGGGTCCAAAGCACGACCTCAGTTCTGACCTAATAAGCTTCCAGGTGAAGTCAGCGCAGCTGGTCCCAGAATCACAATTTAAATACCAAGGCGCTACCCCTCCTACGCATGAGAAGGAAATGGCACTTCACAAATTTTACCATTTGCTCATTAGGGAACTCAGTCCCTATTGAATGTATATATATCTTTTTTTTTTTAATTTGAGAGAGAGACAGAGAGAGCAGAAGCAGGTGGTGGGGTAGAGGGAGAGGGAGAGGGACAAGCAGACTCCCCGCTGAGCACCAGGGGCAATTGATACCAGGACCCTGAGATCATAACCTGAGCCCAAGTCAGAAGCTTAACCAACTGAGCCACCCAGGCACCCCCCCTCCACTGAATGTGTTTTAATGGATCTCTGATAGCTATTTGATGAGTCAATGGATGTAAGAACAACATGCTTATGCCTATTCCAGGAAGAACGTGGGGAATACTGATGTCAAATAATCCTTGTGATAACCCTGTGAGATTAGAAGCCTGTCCCCGTTTTGCACATGGGGAGGTAGAGAGGGCAGGCAGATGGCCGAGTTGTGCTTTGTTCTCCAGTCTGACTCCAAACCCAGTGCTGCTTCCCCTTCACCGTAGCTCCGCTCTTCCCTCTGTCTCCCACCGGAGCCCCCTATCAGCCATGGCTAAGTGACAGTTGCCAGCCCTAGAGAGAGAAAAAGATCTGCTCCTCTAGATGTGCAAATGTATGTCACAAAGATGTCCTTTGCAGCATTGTTTATAACAGAAAGGCGGGAAACTTGCCACTGCACACTGTAGAGTTGCTAAAAGGTGACATAAAACCATACAAACTACCTTCCTGTTAGCTTTTCTCACCTGCCGTTTCTTTCTTGGGTTTCATCCCTCGTCATGTATTTGTTTCTTCTCTATGTCTGTCCCTCCACTAGAATGTAAATTCGTTGAGGGCAAGGACGTTGCTGGGTCCCTAACTTCTGGGCACACAGTAGGAGCTCAATAAATATTGGTTGTATGAATGAACTGAAACATTTTGAGATGGCAAGTAAAAAAGCAAATTGCAGAACGATAGGCGTGGAACAACTCCATTTTCGTTTAGAAGATGTTTGAATGCAAGTAGAGAAAAATCTGTAAGGCCACATATTAATTATCTCGGGGTTTGGGACTGGGGCTTACGTGTGGCTGATTTTCATTTTCCATTGTTTCATGCTTTTTTCTTTTATATGAGCATGAATTTCTTTAGTAATAATAATAAAAAAGTGTTTTTTAAAAGAATAATCATCCAGGGGGCACCTGGCTGGCTCAGTCGGTGGAGCATACAACTCTTGATCTTGGAGTTCTGGGTTCGAGGCCCATGTTGGGTGTAGAGATTGCTTAAAAATAAAGTCTGGGGGCACCTGGGTGGCTCAGCAGTTAATCATCTGCCTTTGGCTAGGGTCATGACCCCAGGGTCTTAGGATCAAGCTCCACGTTGGGCTCCCAGCTCAGCAGGGAGTCTGCTTCTCCCTCTGCTTCTCCCCCTGCTTGTGTTCTCTCTCTCTCTCAAATAAATAAATAAAAAATCTTTAAAAAATAAATCAAATCAAACCTTGGGATGCCTCAGTCTGTTGGGTGGCTCAGTCTGTTAAGCATCTGACTCTTGGTTTCAGCTCAGGTCATGATCTCAGGGTCATAGGATCCACCGCTTCGTTGGGCTCTGCTGAGCATGGAGCCTGCTTAGGATTCTCTCTCTCCCTCTCCCTCTGCCCCTCCCCATGCACTTGTGCACCATCTCTCTCTCTCAAAAAAAACAAAAACAAAAACAAAAAACTTAAAGAATCATCCACACTCCTTTCTATTATGTATGTATGTATAGATGGATGGATATATAAGGACATTTATTCCAGCATTATTTGTCATAGCAAAAAATTGGAGATTATCATTTGCCTACTTTATTTTTTTTTAAGATTTTATTCATTTATTTGAGAGAGGGAGAGATAGTGAGAGAGAGTGCGAGTGGTGGGGAGCAGCAAAGGGAGAGGGAGAGGCAGGCTCCCCGCTGAGCAGGGAGCCTGATGCAGGACTCAATCTCAGGACCCTGGGATCATGACCTGAGCCAAAGGCAGATGCTTAACCAACTGAAACACCCAGGTACCCTGACCACTTTATATATTGTTTTGATTTTTTACAGTGGACATTGCAGTGGACTAAATATTTATGTCTCCCCTCCACCCCCACCAAATTTATGTGTTGAAATCCCAACCTCCAGTGTGATGGCGTGTGGAGATGGGGCATTTTAGAGGTGATCAGATCTCAAGGGCAGAGCCCTTCTGATGGGATACGTGCCCGTCTAAGAAGAGGCCCCAGAGAGATTCCTCACCCCTTCGTCCATGTGAGGATATAGCAAAAAAAATAAAAAAATAAATAATAAATGCTTGTCTCTGAACTAGGAAGCGGGTCCTCAGCAGACACTGAATCTGCTGGTGCCTTGGTCTCAGACTTCCCAGTGTCCGGGACCAGGAGAAAATAAATTCCTGTTGCTTAGAAGCCACCCAGTGTATGGTATTTTGTTACAGCAACCCAGGCCAACTAAGAACAACATGTGTTTGTGTAACTGAAAACAAAGGACAAATAAGAGGGCGATGTGTAGGCTAGCTGGCTTATAACCCAGAGCAGCTGGCCACAGGTGCCTCCCTGGCTCACAGTCCGGGTGCCGCTGTGCCTGGCCAAGGCTATTTTGGGTTTTCTTCTCCCACACGCCACATGAGCAGGGGAAACAGTGTCTGACAAGGGGGACCAGCAGTGGGAAATAGGCAGTCTGCTTCAGAGACCAAATGCCTCTGATCTATGCTGTCTTCTTAGGGACAAGTCAGACCCTGCTGATACCATGGGCTTGTCTCTAGAAGCTGGGGTCTCTCTCCTCGGCTCCGACTTCATGGGCTCCACTCGGGACTGGGTAAACAAACAGCCGGGTATGTTCTCTGAGCATCGTGGGGAAATAAGTCCCAAGTCTAGCTCTGCCTGTTGGGTGATTTATCTGCCTCATTAACCCACACAGGCTAGAGGTCACTGTGGGGAACTTCTCTTTGATAACGATCTCCCCAACAAATATTCATGCAGCTGTGGGAGGAATATTAGGACTTCCTCCTGCCTTCAAGGAATTGGCAATGTATAATTATACAAGTCCAGAAGACACAGGTACCTCCAAGTTAGGGTCCCGTAGAGACTAAGAGAACTCTGGGAAGCTTCCATTTCGGGGGCAGGGGGGGTGTTCCCAGTATACTACCAAATGAAGAAATGCTAAAATAGCTTTACAAAAATTACAGTACATTTTAAATGTTTCCATTAAGCAAATTGACCCTTTTAAGACACACACCAATCACAATGTGATTATGCTAATTAGAAGGTGACAGGAGCGGCGCCTGGGTGGCTCAGTTGGTTAAGTGACTGCCTTAGGCTCAGATCATGATCCTGGAGTCCCGGGATCAAGCCCCACATCGCCGGGGGGGTGGGGTGGGGGTTCCTGCTCAGCAGGGAGTCTGCTTCTCCCTCTGACCCTCCCCCCCTCGTGTTCTCTCTCTCATTCCCTCTCTCTCTCTCAAATAAATAAATAAAATCTTTAAAAAAAAGTTTGAAAAAATTAGAAGGTGATGGGAATTATAATTTTATTTTATTTTTTTTAAGATTTTATTTATTTGTGAGAGAGAATGAGAGACAGAGAGCATGAGAGGGAGGAGGGTCAGAGGGAGAAGCAGACTCCCTGCTGAGCAGGGAGCCCGATGCGGGACTCGATCCAGGGACTCCAGGATCAGGACCTGAGCCGAAGGCAGTCGCTTAACCGACTGAGCCACCCAGGCGCCCGGTGATGGGAATTATAAAAATATTCATGGCCTGGTAAGGGGACACAGATTTAAAGTCGCCGGGTAGGTGTCTTCTCTCGCTCCGGTCTGTGCTGCACGCTGCTGGTTGGTGCCGACTCCTGTCTGCCCATGTCTTTCTCTGTCACGTCACACACCTGCTTTGTTTTCACCTCTGCATTTATCCCTGCCAGAAAACGTCTTGTCTCTTTATTGGCTGAATGTCCCCTTTAAAATATAAGTGCCACAAGTCGGGAGCCTTCTCTGTCCACATCACCGCTGTCTGGCACATGGTAAGTGCTGCATAAATGTTTGTTCAGTGAGCGGATGTATGATATCCTCGTTTATGTGAGGTCAGGTGCATCCACAGACACAATGGGATTTCGTGATAAGAAATAGTACGTGATGGTTCCCAGGGAGGCAGCTTGTATGATGAAAGCGCAGAGCCCTGCGCCAGGGCTCCGGTCCCCGTTCAGCTGCTATCTGCTGAGTAACCTTGGGCCAAATGCCACTCTTCCCCATGGCTCAGTTTCCCCATTGGCAACATGGGGGAGGGGCAGACTGGCAGATCACTGGGGTCCCCCTGACCCTGGCGTCCTATGGATTCACGGAGGTGATACTCGGGCTGGATTTTCAGAGATGAGTGCGTGGGGAGGAAGGGGAAGGTGTTCTCCAACTCCAACTGTTCTTTCTCTCTGAAGGATGGCATTAGGAGGGGAAAATCTGCTCAAGAGACCATCGCTAGGTGAAAAAGCAAGGTTCAGAAGGATTTATCTAGAATGATCTCATTTTTGCAAAAGTCAATAATCATGTTACTACATATAGAAAAGGTTGAGGAATACACACCACGCTGTTGAGGGTGTGGCTCTGCAGGTTGGAGCATTTTAGGGAGATTTCACTTCATGTGCTTTGGATTTATATAGTGCTTAAATTTTGTTTTATGCATTTTATTTGTAATCAGTTCTTTTTAAAGATAAAAATTAACCTTTTTACATTGAATTGTTTTTTAAATTTTTATTTGTTTAAAGATTTTATTTATTTTTGTGAGAGAGAGAGAGAGAGAGAGCGTGAATGGGGGGAGGGGCAGAGGGAGAAGCAGACTCCCCACTATGCAGGGAGCCTGATGTGGGACTCGATCCCAGGACCCTGGGATCATGACCTAAGCCGAAGGCAGACACTTAACCAACTGAGCCACCCAGGCATCCATTGAATTGGGTGTTCTAAAAGATTTATTTATTTATTTTAGGGAGAGCGAGAGCGAGCAGGGTGGGGGAGGGGCAGAGGGAGATGGAGAGAGAATCTCAAGCAGAATCCCCGCTGAGCGAGGAGCCTGATGTGGGTCTCCATCTCGTGACCCTGAGATCATGACCCGAGCCAAAATCAAGAGTCAGATGCCTAACTGACTGAGCAACTCAGGCGCCCCTACACTGAATTGTTTTAAAATTTATTATACATGTACCTTTTTCCTTTCTTCATAGAAAGTTCTGTTTTGTTTTTCGGATGAGCCAAGATAATCAGTTGTAGTAATTCTCCTAGAAGGATTTGAAGTATGCAGGATTAATTTGTCTTTAAGCTGAATGCCCCTAGATGACAGGACCTTGAGTTGACTTTACGATGTACAAAAGAATATATGTGACATATTTAAGTTAGAAGGCATAATAAACTGAGGACTTGCTGCCCAATTTAGGAATTACAACATTACTGATTATGTGTCTCTCTCTGTCCCATACCCTGGGTCCACACCAGAGGAAACCACTCTCCTAAATTCTGTGTTTAACAGTCCTTTCTTTTTATTACTATTTCCCTTAAAAAAATTTTTTTTGAAGATTTTATTTAGGGGTGCTTGGGTGGCTCAGTTGGTTAAGCCTGTTCCCACTGCTTGTGCTCTCTCTCTCTCACTCTCTCTCTCTGTCAAATGAATAAGATTTTATTTATTTATTTGACAGAGAGAGTGAGCACAAGGGGAGTGGCAGGCAGAAGGAGAGCAAGCCCGACATGGGGCTTGATCCCAGGACTCTGGGATCATGACCTGAGCGAAAGGTAGACGCTCAATCGACTGAGCCACCCAGGTGCCCCTCCATTAAAAATTTTTTTATGGGGGCGGAAGGGGAAGGTGTTCTCCAACTCCAACTGTTCTTTCTCTCTGAAGGATGGCATTAGGAGGGGAAAATCTGCTCAAGAGACCATCGCTAGGTGAAAAAGCAAGGTTCAGAAGGATTTATCTAGAATGATCTCATTTTGCAAAAGATCAAGAGTATGAGACTCTTGATCTCAGGGTTTTAAGTTCGAGCCCCACGTTGGGTACAGAGATTACTTTTAAAAAGTTTTTTATGGGGGTGCCTGGGTGGCTCAGTCGTTAAGTATCTGTCTTCAGCTCAGGTCATGATCCTGAGGTCCCGGGATTGAGTCCCACATCAGGCTCCCTGCTCAGCAGGGAGTCTGCTTCTGCCTCTGACCCTCACCCCACTTGTGCTCTCTCTCTCTTCAAATAAATAAAAAAAATCTTTAGGGTACCTGGGTGGCTCAGTCGTTAAGCGTCTGCCTTCGGCTCGGGTCGTGATCCCGGGGTCCTGGGATCAAGTTCTGCATTGGGCTCCCTGCTTGGCAGGAAGCCTGCTTCTCCCTCTCCCACTCGCCCTACTTGTGTTCCTGCTCTCGCTATCTCTCTGTTAAATAAATAAATAAAATCTTAAAAAAAATAAAAATAAAAGTTTTTTATGATAAATACATATATCTTTAATTGATATATTTGTGAAAATTCATCAAGCTGTATACCTGTAATTTGTCTACTTTTCTATAAATGTCCATCTGTATGTATGAACATCAATGAAAAGTTAACAAAAAGCACAGGTGCTCAGGCAGTCCCACTTTAAGACCAAGGTCGGAGGGACCCCTGCCCTGGGTTCTGCTTTAGAAGACCCTGCTCAGTAATGAGTCCACACAGACAGAGGACTGTGCCCCTTCCACTCCCCCTGCAAAGCATAGCCTCATTCCTTCACCTTGCTCCAGGTACCCAAATTGCTGTTTTGTTTGTTTTAAGATTTTATTAATTTTTTTGAGACAGAGAGAGCCTGACATTCAGTGGATCCTAGGACCCCGAGATCATAACCTGAGCCAAAGGCCGACTGAGCTTAACCAACTAAGCCACCCAGGTGCCCATCCAGGTACCCAAATTGTTATGATGGTGTATTTGTCAAGATCGGAACATAGAAAAATATTTTATTTAACAGTTTGTTAGCTTGATTGGTGGTTGTTAAGTATTTTAGACCTAGTTATGTGAATCTCTACTGGTGCTCTTTTTGTTTTGTTTTGTTTTAAGTAAACTCAAACCTAGCATGGGGCTCAAATTCATGACTCCAAGATCAAGAGTCATATGTTCTACCAAATGAGCCAGCCAGGCGCCCCCACCCCCACTGGTACTCTTGTTCTAGGCCCTGCAAATGTTAGGGGTACTGTACACAGGGCCTAATCCCAGAGGAGATGGGGTACTAGGATTTTTAAAAAGTTCCTGAGCTGGGGTTCCTGGGTCGCTCAGTCAGTTAAGTGCCTACATCAAGCTCCCTGCTCAGTGGGGAGCCTGCTTCTCCCTCTCTCTCTGCAGCTGCCCCTTCTTATGTTCTCTCTCTCTCATAAATAAATAAAATCTTTTAAAAAATAAAAATAAAAATAAATAAAAGCTCCTCAGCTTATTCTCATGTATAGCCAGAGTTGAGATTCTCTGTTTTAAGATAGCTTTTGATTAGTTTTGATGGAGCTAATGTATCCCTTCCTTTATGGTTTGTGTTTTGTTATTTGTTGTTGTTTTTTTTTTTAATCTTAAGAAACCCTTTTGGGGTGCCAGGGTGGTTCAGTCGGTTAGGCGTCTGCCTTCAGCTCAGGTCATGATCCTGGGGTCCTGCTCAGCAGGGAGTCTGCTTCTCCCTCTGCCCCTTCCCCTGCATGTGCTCTCTCACTCGTGATCTCTCTCTCTCATAAATAAATAAAATATATTTTTTTTAGATTTTATTTATTTATTTGATAGAGAGCAGGAGAGCACAGGCAGAGGGAGAGGCAGAGGGAGAGGGAGAAGCAGGCTTCCCGCTGAGCAGGGAGCCTGATGTGGGGCTCGATCCCAGCACCTTGGGATCATGACCTGAGCCGAAGACAGATGCTTAACCAACTGAGCCACCCAGGCGCTCCATAAATAAATAAAGTCTTAAAAAAAAAAAAAAAAAAGAAAGAAACCCTCTTTACCCTGAGCTCATAACAATCATCCCATATTTTTCTGAAAGTTTTAAGGTTTTGCTTTCATACTTAATATCTGGATTGATTTTTGTATGCGTGTAGTGAGATGAGCTCCGTTGCATTTCTTTCCAAACGGGCTGCAGATGATCCCTCGCCAGTCCCTTCTTGCCGGTTGGCATTGTCACCCATATCATGCTGTGGGTCTGCTCTGGGCCTCTTTCCTGATCTGTCCGGTAGGCTTCCTTTTCTGTAGTTAATATTTATGACTCATGTGATTTGTCTCATTTTTCCATGAAAACAAACAAACAAACAAACAAACCCTACTACTCTTAGGAAAGACTCTGAAACTCATTCACCCAGATCCGTGATTGCTAATGGTGTTAAAAATGACACCACTCCCAACGTGTTTCTGAATTTAACAGGGATCACACTTCAAGCCAAAGGAAAGAAGCTCCAGCAAGTGACATTTCAGCTGAGCTAGCCATTGAGTGGGGTGTGATGGGGGAGGAGGCCAGCAGCAAGGTCCAGGGGCCCCCCTAAATCATGACACCCAGGAAGCAGCCCCTGCCAGACACATAGGCCGACCCTAGCACACAGGTAAACACTTCACAGAATTGGGGCAGCGGGAATTTGAAGAATTTGTTTACTTCTCAAGTGGACAGAGGGGGAGATTGGAGAGAGGAGGACTAGAGAAGTATTTGGCTGGCCCCTGCCATTTATTTGGGATTTCTGGCATCGGATAAATCTGCATCAATACCTAGGCGTTGAACCTGATCCTTTCTCCAGGGCCAAATGCAGCCTTTGCAACACAGAGTGAACTCTATTTAGAGTGTCGGGTTTTTTTTCAGATGAATGACAGTCTACCTTAGTGAAAACAAAGCACTAGATTTTTGGACCGTGAAGACCAGGGTTTGAGCATCGGCTCTGCCTGCTCAGAACTGAATTTAGGTCTCCATTTCCTCCTTTATAAAGTTAGGGTATGGGGCGCCTGGGTGGCTCAGTCGGTAAGCGTCTGCCTTCAGTGTAGGTCCTGATCCCAGGGCCAGTGGGGAGCCTGCTTCCCCCTCTCCCTCTGATGTTTCCCCTGCTTGTGCTCTCTCTCTCTGTCAAATAAATTTTTAAAAATCTTAAAAAAAAATAAAGTTAGGGTAATACTGCCTCCATCAAAAAGTTCTAAAGAGGGGCGCCTGGCTGGCCCAGTCTGAAGAGCATGTGACTCTTGATCTCAGGGTCGTGAATTTGAGTCCCATGTTGGGTGTAGAGATTACTTAAATAAATAAAACTTTTAATACTTAAAAAAAAGTTCTAATGAGCTGAAGTCTTGGAAAAGTCTTTTTAAGCTGCACAGCTCCTGCCAAGTGTTAGCTGTATGGATAAGGTGCCCGTCTGGCCCCTAGTTGAAATCATCCGGAATGACTACGCTCAGAGCTTCTCCTAAGGGAGAAAAAAAAAAGAGGTATTTGAGTTGATGTTTTGTAATTCACTTACCCTAAATAACACTGGGCAAGAGCTGAATCACAGCACATGAATTATAGCCTGGACATAAGATTGTTGGAAACATTCCCCAACATTTTTAGCCAAAACTTTGTTCATTCCTCAATGTTCTCCCTCTTCTGCATCCCACACCCAGCCAAGGACTGACTCAGCCTCAACGGAGAAGTAGCTTGAATTCAACAACATTGTATTTAACATCTTTTTTTAAAAGAATATTTATTTATTTTAAGGAGGCTCCACACCCAACGTGGGGCTTGAACTCACAACCCTGAGATCAAGAGTCACACACTCTGCCAACCAAACCATCCAGGTGCCCCATATTCAGCATCTTCCTATATTCCTACATTGAGCCAGACTTCTTCAGGTCAGGAAGGCCTCGGCACTAGAGGTCCTCAAGAGACCAAAGCAGAAGTTGTCAGAGATGTCATAAAGTGATTCAGACATTAGCCAGAGGATGTACTAAGGGATAAACAGCAAGATTCCTTCCAGCTCTAAAGTTGGACATGGAAGAGCTCCCACCCTCTAGAAGCGGACAGTCTAGTTAGGGAGATAAGGCACAAACCACATGAGTATGTGTAGAAAAAAGGCCAAAATGAGTGACAATGAAGAAAGTGCTCTAAGACCTCAGAGACGAGTGGGGACTGGAGAGGGATGCATTCTGGGAGGTGAATGTTGACTCACAGGTGTAGGACTGGGAAGGGAGAAAAGGAGGAGAAAAAACAGGTGTGGGAAGAGGCAACCAACCATATTAGCCAAGGCTGGAATCCAATCCAACAACCACTTACTGAGCATATCTCCGAGGCAGATACAAACATAAATAAGAATTTCAGTCCTGAAGAAATCTTGAAATACCTCTTGGTGTCAGTCCCATGACTACTTCTTCAAGCTGAAACCGGTTGGTTCTGTGGCAACGGGGTAGGTGGTTCTCTGCTTCAGGGCAGCGATCCACTGGAATAAGGTGGAAACCTGATCCAAGGATGGTGCATTAGCATCGTGACGAGAGTGGGCTTCTGGGCTCATTCTTCCATTTGTTCCTCCAGCCCCCTCAACCCTTTTGCAATCCATTACCCACATAATATCCACTTCCATTTTGGGGCACCTGGCAGGCTTAGTAGGTAGAGCATGAGACGCCTGATCACTGGGTGGAGAGTTCGAGCCCCACGCAAACTGGGGTAGAATTTACTTAAAAAAGAAAAGGGGCACCTGGGTGGCTCAGTCAGTTAAACGTCTGCCTTCTGCCCGGGTCATGATCTCGGGGTCCTAGGATTGAGTCCCACATCGGGCTCCCTGCTCAGTGGGGAGTCTGCTTCTCCCTCTGCCTCTGTTCCTCCTCTCCCCACTCATTCTCTCTCTCAAATAAATAAATAAGATCTTTAAAACAAAAAAGATTGTAGGTTGAAATAAGTATAAGGAAGAAAGATAAAGCAAGGGAAAGGTATTCTTGATGGTCACAAAGGGCTTAAGGAAGTGCTGTCTGAGATCTGATGATGTGGAGGAGGCTTCCATGTGCAGATCTCGAGGCAAAGCAGAAGAGGCAGAGGGAGGGGCGCCTGGGTGGCTCAGTCGGTTAAGCGTCTGCCTTCAGCTCAGGTCATGATCCCAGGGTCCTGGGATCGAGCCCTGCATTGGGCTCCCTGCTTGGCGGAAAGCCTGCTTCTCCCTCTCCCACTCCCCCTGCTTGTGTTCCCTCTCTTGCTGTGTCTCTCTCTGTCAAATAAATAAATAAAATCTTAAAAAAAAAAAAAAAAGAAGAGGCAGAGGGAACAGTGGAGATAAAGCTGGGAACTAGGAATAAGCATCGTGTATCTGAATGACCATTGCAAGGAAAGGTGGCTATTTTTTTTACCGGGTGAAGCATGTGGGTTTAACCCAGTAAGGCACTCCCTTTTAGCTATAGTCAGCTTAATAAATCAGCCTACGTGACTTGGGACAACTCAAGTTGGAAGGTTTGGACCAGCTGTCACTGAAGGAAGGGAGGGTCCTTGGTAACTGCCAATCGGCATACACAGATTTTAGGGCAGCAACACTTCAGCCTAAAGGAAGGAGTACAGCTTGCTAGTCAGTGGGAGGTGACTAATCCAACCGGACAAATTCTCCGTACATTCTGGACATTGTTGAGGCCTTGTAGAACTCAAGGGCACTCGCACACATTTTCAGATCTGTGAGTTACGCAGGCGGGGTCTTCAGCCTCATATTGTAGACGAGGAAGCTGAAGGAGAATGACCTGCCTGTGACACAGTAAGCTACAAGCTAGGCTGAGACCCAGTTTTCCTGACCCCTGATGGAGTGTTCATTCCTTACAGAAGACTGCCACATGGTCCCCAAGATGCTGGGGTCAGAATTCTGAAAAGCTGATGAGTGGGAAAAGCCCACTCCTTCCTTCTCTCAGCCCACCTTTGCATCTTTAATTATAAATATGCCACTTTCCATTTCCAGACACAATTTCTGGGGCCTCTATTCCTCTCCAAATCCATGTTCAACTTTCTCTCACACCCTCGTTAATATTTACTGATGATAACGTTAAATGTAGCATTTCGAATGTGATGGGGCGCTTGGGTGGCCCAGTCAAGTAAGCATCTGTCTTTGGCTCAGGTCATGATCCTGGGGGTCCTGGGATCGAGCCCCAAGTTGGGCTCCTTACTCAGCAGGGAGCCTGCTTCTCCCTCTGCCCCTCACACCACTCTCGTGTTCTCTCTCACTCTCTCTCTCAAATAAATACATAGATAAAATCTTTAAAAAAATAATAATAAACATTATTTCGAATGTGAGAATATTGCATTTGCATGAGGGATAAATCTTAAATCAATGACACAAGTAATTTTGGGGAGCAGCAGAGTCCAATAGAAATATAATGTGAGCCATACATGTAATTTAAAATTCTCTAGTAGCCACATTCAAATCATAAAAAGGGACAAGGTTGGGGTGCCTGGGTGACTCAGTTGGCTGAGCGTCTGACTCTTGATTTTGGCTCGGGTCATGACCTCAGGGTCGTGAGATCAAGCCCAGTGTCCGGCTCTGTGCTTAGCATGGAATCTGCTTGAGATTCTCTCCCTCTTCCTCTCCCTCTGTCCCTCCCCCACCCCAGAGCATGCATATGCTCTCTCTCTCTCTCAAAATAAATAAATCACTCTTTCTTTTAAAGGGGGACAGGGTTCATTTTAATATATTTAATTCAGTATATAAACATATTGTTTAAAACATAATCAATATAAAATATTAAAGAGATAGTTTAGATTCTTTTTATTGACTAAGTCTTCAAAACCTGGTGCACATTTTACACTTGTAGTACATTTTAGTCTGGATTGGCCACATTTCAAATGTGCAATGGCTACTGTACCAGATGTGCAGCTCTCAGAGTCGAACTGCTAGTGTTCAGGGGCGCCTGGCTGGCTCAGTCGGTGGGGCATGCGACTCTTGACCTCAGGGTTGTAGGTTCGAGCCCCACATTGGGTGTAGAGATGACTTAAAGAAAAAAAAAGAGAGAGAGAGAATTGCTAGTGTCTGAGTCTGAACAGTGTGAAGTTGGCAGACATCCTTTTTCTTTCTTTCTTTTTTTTTTTTTAAAGATTTTATTTTTATTATTTATTTGACAGAGAGACACAGCGAGAGAGGGAACACAAGCAGGGGGAGTGGGAGAGGGAGAAGCAGGCTCCCTGCAGAGCGGGGAGCCCGAAGCGGGACTCGATCCCAGGACCCCGGGATCATGACCTGAGCTGAAGGCAGTCGCTTAACCGACTGAGCCACCCAGGCGCCCCTTTTTCTTTTTTTTAGAGAGAGAGTGCTCAGTGTTGGCAGAGGGACAGAGAGAGAGAGAGAGAATTTTAAGTAGACTTTGTGCTGAGCACGGAGCCCAATGCGGGGCTTGATCTCATGACCCTGAGCCAAAAACAAGAGTCAGACGCTTAACCAACCTTGTTAAGGGCAACGTGTCTTCTAATGTCCCAGCTGTCACACTAGAAGAACCAGTACCCTCCAAGAAATAGAAATGAAAAGGAACTATAGTTGACTTGACTTTTAAAACTGTGGAAGATTAAACTAGAAGGGCTCTCTGAGATTCTCTGGTCCAGAAGTCGGCAAACCTCAACCCTGGACCAGATCGGGCTCACTGCCTGTTTTATTCGACAGCCTTGGGAACTAACAATGGTTTTTACATATTTAAGTGGTTAAAAAATAACTGAAGAAAGAATAATGCTTCATGATATGAGAATATTACATCAAATTTGAATGTGTAATAAGAACATTTTATTGGAACATCTTCACACTCATTTGCTTACATTTTGTCTGTGGCTACTTTTGAGCTACAATGAGATGATATGGCAGGTGAGTGGCCGCCACAGAGACGATATGGCCCATCAAGCCCAACATGGTATAGTCTGGCCTTTTACAAAAGAAATTGGCTGACCCCTGGACTAGACCAGCAGTTCCCGTTCTGTTGGTGGGGAATTGAGGCGCACAGAGAAGAAAGGACCAGGCTGAGATCACACAGTCTGCCAGTGGCCAAATGAGAACCCTTTGGTTTCCCTGTTAGGGCTCTTTTCAACTATCCTACCACCTCAAAGCGGTTAAGAAGCGTCCTGGTTTATCATGACAACCACTTGGTCCTTGGTCCTTTTGTATGTTTTCTCTCAGAGCCTTTCCACACACAGGCCTGATGTAGGCTTTAGAATGAGCCGGCTGCATCTGTAACCTCAAGAGGGCAGCCCTGGCTAAGGTGACTCCAAAGTGCAAAGTCTTATCCAAGAGAACCAAAATCCCAAATCCAATCAATATGTTGTCCTGTCCCCCCAACCCCACCCAAAAGAAAGAAAATAGGTCAGAAGGGCCTGAATTGGTTTTGATGATGATCTGCATATATACGAGTAGAAATGCAAGACAGTTTCATCATATTTTAAACCAGCTGCCAAAGGTGAATTCGAGCACACAGAAAAAATCCCCACATCTGGCTAGAACAGAAGGCACGGAAGCCAAATCAGTGGCAAAAGAAAGGTAGGCATTTCAGAGAGAAACACCCACACATTAAACACACACACACACACACACACACACTTTTCTGAGTATTGGGGGGACATAGAGAGGAAATTAGTTCTCCCACAGCCCTAGGGACAGTTTTAAGTAGGCGAGTGGAGCTGTGCTCATGACCCAGATTTGTCCTCGTTCTGAGTGGGCTGAAGAAGAGTTTCCATCTCTTCATTTGGGGAAGGCTAATCATAAAATGGGGCTAGTGGGGCTTGCAGCCTAGTATCAGGGAGGTATTTATGAAGCATAATTAATGTTTGCAGCGGGTTTGGGGATCCTCCAGATTAAAAGGTGCCCTGTGCAAGGTGCAAGATGGATGGGTGTTACTTCGAGGGCAGATACATTCTGTGGGTATCACCACTGTTGTTGTTTACTAAGGACAAAAGTAGGTTAAGACTATGTGGCACAATCCTTCAACGTGACCCAGAACAGAGGAAACCTGTATAGGGAGACTATCACATCAAATGGTGTAGAGAAATTTCACGGAGAATGCACAAATCCCCAGAGGCAGAATGGTTGGCTTCATGACACCTAATCATGCTAGAAGAAATCTGGTGGGGCTAAGTGGAAAAACACATATGGCACTTCCGTCTTTACAAGGAAGGGGGTTGAGTTGCATTACTCAGCGCACATATTTCCTCAGCCTGAGCTTGACTTCTGAGATCTTCTGAGAACTGAGTATTTTTTCAAGGTAATCCTAAAAGGCCTGGTGCTGGGTAACAGCAGGAACTAGGTTGGAAGTCTAATTAAGCATCCCCATATTACAACACTTAAAAACACTTAGGGGAATCCCAGTGAGTTCCTAATGTCTAATTCCTAGATTTAATCCTAAATTACGCCACTGAATCCTCTTGTATGACCTAGGCTAATTATGTAATATCTAATCACCAGCGATAATGTTGAAAAACTGAAAATGATGGCATGAGTCATTTTACTTCTCCTTGTAGATATTCCATCAGAACCAAAGATAAGGGCTTCTCCCAGGAATAAACCTTAGCATGGGGCACCTGGCTGGCTCAGTCGGTAGAGCACATGGCTCTTGATCTCAGGGTCATGAGTTTGAGCCCCAAGTTGGGGGTAGAGTTTACTTAAAAAACAAAGCAAAACAAAACAAAACAAAAACACCTTAGCATATAGGAAATAGCTTTCAAACTCCAACAATCAAGTATATTACTTTAGTCCCTGGAATGGCAAGAAAATGGAAATGCACTGAATGGGATTTTTTTTCTTAGTTATTCTTATCAGATAGCACTTTGTCCAGATCAGTCCTATAATGTGTGCCAAGATCATATAGATTTATCATGAAAATAAATAGTCTGGTGTACTTGAGGTGTGTTAAGAAATTTTCAGCAGAGGGGCAGCTGAGTGGCTCAGTTGGTTAAGAGTCTGACTCTTGATTTCTGCTCAGATCATGATCTTAGGGTCATGAGATTAAGCCCTGCATCAGGCTCTGTGCTCAGTGCAAGTCTGCTTGGGATTCTCTCCCTCTCCCTCTGTCCCCCAACCCTGTCTCATGTGTGCAAGCTCTCTCTCTGTGAAATAAATAAATAAATAAATAAATAAATAAATAAATAAATAAATAAATAAAATCTTAAAAAAAAAAATGAAATCCTCAGCAGAAACATCAGTACATTTGAAGTTTTATTATTACCTAGAAAAGTAAATCCACATCTCCAATACAGTATTTGCTTTGGAAATTATAATCTACCAAAAAACAAAACAAAACAAAGAAAGAAAAGGAGAGGTAATATAATACTTATGGGCTCGGTATTATAAATGTAACTTGAGGGGTGCCTGGCTGGCTCAGTCAGAAGAGCATGTAACTCTTGATCTCGGGGTCTTTTTTTTTTTTTTTTAAAGATTTATTTATTTGACACAGAGAAAGAGAGAAAGGACAAGCAGAGGGAGCAGCAAGCAGAGTGAGAGGGAGAAGCAGGCTTCCTGCTGAGCAGAGAGCCCAACTCCAGGACCCTGGGATCATGACCTGAGCCAAAGGCAGACACTCAATTGACTGAACCACCCAAGTGCCCCAATGGGGTTGTGAGTTTGAGTCCCATGTGGGGTGTAGCGATCACTTAAATAAAAATAAAAACAAATAAATGAATAAATAAATGTAACTTGGAACTTAATTTATGACATTCACATAAAGCTAGCTGACTTAGATGGTTTTTTGGCCTTTTTATACTTTGTCAGCTCTGTGATGTAACGTGGGTTAAAAGGTGAAATCCCATTTTATGTAATGTTGTAGTCCATCCTTGAGTTTCAAGCCAGTTGACAGACACTTTAGGTTTTGATATATCCCTCTGAGGGGGGAAAAAAAAGTCTAAGTAACAATGACCATGTTTCCACATTTATATATTTCTCATTTAAGGAGTCAAAAAACTCAGTGGACTTTATCCTAACTCTCCCAATCATAAACACATCCGACATGAATAGCTTTTCTCAGATGACAAAGCACTTTTACAGCTGTTCTCTGCTTTTATTGGATCTTCAAAACAACCCTGTGGGATAGATGGGGCATGGGTAGTGTAGATATTTAATAGATAATTCCTAAAATGAATTCAGTGAATATTTATTGAGCAACTACTGTTTGCCAGGCACTATTTTAGGTAATGACCAGTCGGTGGCAAATAAACCACACAAAGATCCTGCCAAAAACGTTTAAGGGACATACCCAAGAACATAGGGAGTAAATCAAAACCTTTTGGCCAGTGTACTGTGTCATCAGTCTCATATTAAGTTGGAAAAATGAAGCACAGATAACTTATGTATCTTGATGTTGTCTCTTAGCATAAGTGGTATTTCTCACACACACTCAACTACATCTCATCAGCATTTGCACCCATGTGTTCTGGCTTCTGGCCTTCACTAGATGAACTCTATCTGTCTGTCTATCATCTATCTATCTATCATCTATCTATCTATCTATCTATCTATCTATCATCTATCATCTATCTATTATTTTTGGATAGGAAGTAGGATTTATTGATGGATATGAATAAGGAGAGAGCAGTGCCGAAGTTCTCATGAGTGCAGGGCATGCTGTGTGTTCAGAGGGCCACCATTGGTGATGTATTTGACCCCATGGCCACCTGGGATGCGCTTTTCAGCCACCATGTCTTTAAATCCATTCACAATAAACCCAGTAAAACCACACTTCTTGAAGATGTGGATCTTCCTGCCTGCGGCCAGGGAACTTGGACTTGGCCCTGCCTAGAGTCTCAGTCACATGCTTCTTGCTAGCTCAATCACATGTTCTGCATGTTGGTACGGATGGACATGATGACCTGGCCGACGTGGGCCCTGGTCACTGTGCCCTGAGGCTTTCCAGAGGCACTTGCATACCTGTCTGGGGCTTAGATTGGGGATAGCATGAGGTCAGACATGAATGTCCCTGTCTCCAAGGTCCCTTAAGGCAACTCATACAGGCAGCAGGCTGCATATAC